CAGCTCCTCCTCTTACAGGACAGTTATTTGGAAATTGATCTGGAGGATCCAGGTTTACTTAGGGAGCCTCTCACTAGGATACAAATTATAAACATTTCATTGCCTTGTGCTGTATCTTTTAGTGGAAATAGAATGCTGAACAAGGACAGAAAATTTTGTTTTAGGATTTATGTGTGTTTGAGTGCATGTGCATGCATGTGTGTGCGTGCATGCATGTGTGTGTGTGTGTGTGTGTGTCTTTTTGCTGTGATTTCTTTTCTGGCTGCAAGAAATGAAATGGATTTTACTCCATGCTTTATTCCTATTGATTAAAATAAATTGAGGTTTGAGCATGTAAAATTCAGGACGGTGAAGAACGGTCACTTTGATGGCTGAACTGGCCCAATAGCTCCAGCTCCTCGGCTGCAGCAGGTCAGGGTCCAGACACCCTCGTGGTTGTTGAGTTGCATTCTTTCCTCTAGATCAAGTCACCTGTAAATCAATACCAATTGTCTTCAATAGGGTGGCTCAGAAAATATAACCCAGTCATTTTTATAAAGCCAGCTTTAATTAAAGACCTACTGTGGTTATTATCTGGTGGCTGGGGTGAAGAATTAATGTTGGGTGGCTCCCTCCTGATTAACCCAAAGTCTAACTAGGGACCCAATCACATTGATAGGAGGCCTTCACTTCCCATGTACTGTCACCCAGTCAAAGAGTGACATTATATCATATCATATCATATTCCAGTTTCTACTCACACTCCAAGGAGGGAGGGAATTGCATCATGTGCACATCAGGGCATGGCAGGCATCCTGGGGTCATCCTGGGAGCCTTCCTCCCCACGTGACGCAGCTGCATCGGGAGCTGAGCTTGAGAATGCTTCTTTCTGTCCCCACACTGGACTGCTTAAAACGCAGGCTGCCAGGTAGCCATTTCTCAACCTCTCACGTGCCTCTTCCTACCCAGGGATCCCAACTTGGACTTGATTGCTGGTCTTTTTATCTTCAACAAGATTGAGAATGAAAAGAGGATAGAAGTAATTTGTGTGTGACTAACTGCATGATCCACTGATACTCAAGAGGGATTTCCATTTTTTGCAGGCTCTTTTCAATCACTTTGATTTGCAAATTTCCACCTTGGTGAATTTTCCACTTTGTGATTTTTTTGGAAAACATTCCGATAACAGTGAGGGGCAGGTGGGAACAGCATCTTCCCAGGCTTTGCAGTCTCGACCTGTTGCAGCGTGGGCCGGATGTGTGCTTGTGTATACATGTGCACGTATATGTTCCGTGTGAGTGTGCTCTGTGGGATCCGTGCTCCTGTGTCTGTGTGCATTGTGTGGCTGTGTATACCATGTCTACACAAATATGCATGTGTCTATGAGGGAGCATGTGCTGTGTGTGCATGTATGTGAATGTGTGTGCACACATTCACACATACGCATTGCATGTGGGTGGTTGTGCATGTGTGCATCCACACACTGCATGCAGGTTCACTTATACATCACACACACTGGCACATGTATGTGCTGTGGACATATTGAACATGTTGAATGGGCTGTCCTTTGACTGTGAGTGTCCATGTTGTCTATGTGTGTGTGCACACGTGGTATGTGTGTATGCACGCTCACACTCAGTGTGTCTGTCTCTCACGCACTGCCTCTTCTCCGCAGTCTGCCGCAGAGTACAGCAGCCTCCTGCGGACCCTGCACGGCCTGGAGCAGGAGCACCTGTGGAGGTCGCTGGCTTTGCACCAGGAGGAGGACTTTGCCCAGGCTCACAGGCAGCTCGCCGTTTTCCAGAGAAATGAATTGCACAGCATCTTTTTTGCCCAAATGAAAAATGCGATCTTCAAAGGGGAACTGAAGCCAGAGGCAGCTAAAATGCTGCTGCAAGATTATTCTAAACTCCAGGTAATGGCCTCTGTCAGGCCGCGGTGATGGCAGAGTGGTTTTCTAAGTGTTTGCAGGAATTCTCTCCTCTCCCCGGGCTGAGTGCTGTCTCTCCTTTCACAAGATGCTACTGAGCTAACTTCCTCTCCTCTTACCACCTGATGTGGGGCCGCATGTCTAGCACCTGGGTGGATCTGAATTGATCCCAGGTGCATCCCTGTCAACTGTGTGAAGCTGAGCAAGCCCCTCAACTCCTCTGCTGTGAAGTGTGCAAGGCAGGCCTCTATCACAGAGGGGTGAGGAAGATTTAATGAGCTCATCCAGGGCAAGTCAGTGTTTGGCACAAGATGTTTTGAACGTACACAGTGATAAAGATAAGTAGATACGCACATGTATATGTTTGTGCAGATTGGTGCGCAGCACTTGGGTTTAGGATTTGTGTCTTCGTATGCTTGGGTCAGTCTGTATGTATTTTTGCACACAAGCACAGTGTATTTTTAATCTAGACTGAAGAAATTCCTAGCTGATGGTGAGCGTGTTTTTTTGAGTGACGGTGTTACTGTGGAATTTCTCACGAGGCCTGCGTGAGGCATGTCACGTGCGTGTATACATACAAGAATCATTCGTGTGCACTGGTGTGCCTTCCTCGTTTGTCTGGAGAGGTGTGCCGCAGTGCCAACAGCTTGCTCCAGGTGATGACGATGATCACGGAGAATAAATTCCTACTTTGCCGAGGAAATCCTGTGTCCCGACTGTTGAGTGGGATACTCCAGACGTGCAGATACAGCCCCGTCCCAGCTGGTGAGCTGGTTGGGGTGGAGCAGCAGAGGCCCTCAGGGTGCCGAGGACCTGGGTCACACCGAGGCACTCACAACTGTGAGGTTAATGTCATTGGCTCTGCAGCCCCTTGCTCCTCTCTCATAGCTGTCACAGCCACTTGGGCTGTGTCTTCACAGGGAAGTGGTCCCAGAAGGCCGGTCGGCTCATTTCCCTTGAGATTCCCTGTGGGCCTCGGCAGGGCAAGTTCAGCATGAGAACAAGCTGCGTCCAGCCAGCTGAAGCAGAGTGTGTCCCCAGCCTTTGGCACTGCCCATGCCAAAGCGGGAATGAGGTAGACCAGCTGGAGGAGGCGTGGAATGTACGCACATCCTTGCCTCTGTGTGTGTGCGTGCGTGTGTGCAGGTCCCAGCAGAGAGGCCACTGCACTCAGCATTCACCAGGCTGCCGTGTGTCCTCCTGGCGTCCTCCTTGTGGTCCTGGCTGGGGCTGAGTGTGCAGGGCTGAGACAGAGCAAGGTACATATTGACATGAAAGTCTTGCCCTTTGTTTGGTACTCAGGGCTCCAGTTAGAAGTTGAGGGTGTTGATTGCCTCGTGCCTCGTTGCAGCCAAAGCAATTTGTGTGCTGGTCATTGTTTTGGTGCTTGTCCTGCCTTCCTGGAACCAGTTAACGACAAGTCCCCCACCGGGCACCACTGTCCTAGTATTGTGGCTAATGAGGGTGACAATGGCATGCAGACGCAGTCTTTCCTGACCACAGCCATCAGAGTAGTTGTGTGCCAACTCTGAGTTCCTTGGATGGTGGGCTCGAGGGAGCTGGCTTGTGGGTCTCTCTGTTCGTGCTGTGTCCTGGCTTCTTGGTGCTGCTGCGGGACACCCAGGGAAGTGTGGGTTTGGAGCTGGGTTTCACTGACCGCCCAGCCTTTCCTGCCTCAGTGCTAATCCTAGACCACTGATGCCAGAGATGTCACAGCTGCTGGGTAGAAAGGAGAATGTCCGGGCCTCACAGGGTTCTCACTGTCCATCCTTTTGGCGATCCATTGTGAGGACAGATTTTCCATAGATGGAAAAAAGAAAATCAGCAGCTACTAATGGGATAAGACCACCAAGGCATTGCTAAAGCTGGGCATTCAGAGGCAGCCTACGATGATGTTAGACCTCAGGCCTGGGCGGCAGCTTGCTGACCTCTAATCCATGCACAGCCATTTAGCAGCTCTGCGATCCAGACTCGGTTTCCCCTTCTGTGAGATGGGAATGGGAATGCTCTCGGCCTGGAGGAAGAGTGCTCTGGGCTGTGTCAGCCCGGAGGACACGGCCGGTGTGAGCCAGGCTGCTAGGCCTGGGTTTGTTCATGGCGCAGGCGGAGGGGAATTTCTTACTGCACTCCAAGCTGTGCCTGCTTGTCTGGTTTCCTCTGGAGACTGGGCCAGGGGCCGATGCAGCCCACAGTGTCCCATCCGTAGTGCAGCCTTGTTGGGACTCCCAGGCGGGGTGAGTGCCCGGTAGGTGGGACGTGCGTCCAGCTCCGTGGGGCAGGAATTCTTTCCTGTGGGTTTTGGGACCACTTTTCAAAGTGCTCCTCTTATTCGCACCTGATTTTCTTTCTTTCTGTTTTTTTTTTTTGGTACTGGGTATCAAACTCGGGACCTTGTGCTTGCGAGGCAGGTGGTGGAACCACTGAGCTACATCCTCAGCCTGCACCTGATTTTCTTATGAGCCATTGCTGCAAGCAGGGAGGTTAAAGGTGTTAATCCCGCTGCTTCTGCGCCCGAGAATTTTCTTCTGACTGGAAACGTAATATTTCAAAAGTTTGCAAAGATTTTCCTTTCAAAACCAGCAAACATACTTGCAGTAAAATTCTCAACAGGAGAACATAGAAGAGTCGATGGACTTCCTCCAGGCCACTAAGCGGTACCATCTAAGTAAAAGGTTTGGCCACCGGGAGTACCTGGTCCAGAACCTGCGGTCCACGGAGACCCGCGTGCAGGGCCTCCTGAGCGCTGCGGCGGCCCAGCTGACCCAGCTCATCCAGAAGCACGAGAGGTAAGCTCCGAGGCCGCCTGCAACTCAGCTCTGCCATGCCTTCCCCATCCAAGGCCAGCCATTTCTGGTTGCTCATCGTATGCACAGGCTGCTCTGGCCTCATTCTTCAAAGGGATTCCCCAGCTCCCAAGATCTTTGCACTGTTGACTTTATACCTGTAATCCCAGCACTCAAGAGGCTGAGGCAGGAGGATCTCGATGAGTTCAAGACCAGCCTGGGCTACATAGTGAGTTCAAGGACTGAACTACACAGTGAGACCATGTCTCTAGAAACAAACAAATAAACAAACAAACAAAATAAAGGCAGGCAGGCATGGTCAGTCATCAGGACAATCGAGTGCTGAGCCCCGCATGCCACCACCCAACTTCCTCAGGCCCCAGCTTGCAGCCACTTCCAGTGCAGCTGCACTCTCTGTCCCACATCATTTTGGAGCAATTTCCCAACCACACTGGCTGCAGAAGTCCCAAGTGGAGGCTCGCACTGACCGTGTCCCGGGAACTCCCACTTCTCCTGGGGCTGCAGTGCACGCTGGCTGTAGCGTTTGCCTTTGGCATTAAGTGTAAAGCCCAGATTCTTTTCTGGGATTTGATTGGTTATATAGAAAATTATATATACATATTTATTGGTAATATTGTGACACGTAATAACTACACTCATCTTGAGGAATGAATGGTACACATGCATATTCCACCTTAATCATTTTTATTTCTCCTCCCCTCCCAACCTTCCTCTCTGCCCTGCCCAGATTTCCTTCCTATCTCCACAAATTCGATCTCCCTATTTCCCATCATCTTTTTTATTTTGCTCTTTAAATTATTTACATTTTGGGTTTCTTATAAAACAGAAACCATGAAATAGACACTTCTGTGTCTGATTTATACACTTAACATTATGGTCTCAAGATGCATCCATTTTCCTACAAATGACTCAAATTTACCCTCCCTCGTGACTGCATACACCACATTTTCTTTATCTATTCATCTGTTGATGGATGTAAAGGCTGCTTCCAGGATTTAGCTGTGATGAATTGTGCTGCTGTAAACACGGATATGCACGTGCTGCTGTGATTTGATGACTTTAATTTTCAAGAATTTACCCAGAAGAGGTAGAGCTGGGTCACATGGAATTTCTAGCTTGGTTTTGTGAGAAATCTCTACACAGATTTCCACAAGGGTTGTACGACGTAGAAAGGTCCCCTCATACCTGAGGTATCCACAATCCACGGATGGCAGAAAGGCAGAGTTCTTCCAAGGCCTACCCTCTCTCTCCCTAGGGTTTCTGCCCAGCTGTCCCTTGAGGTAGCTTACTTGTAAACAGTAGTTTACAAGAAGCTGTCACATGAGTAGGGACCTGACTATAAAGTTGGCTTTCTTAGGACAGTCTGTGGCTTTATGAATTGGTCCTACAACCCAGACAATTTTATTAAGACCGGGCAGCTTCCTGCACTGTTGAATGAGGATTCTTTAAGGTGCAAATTATGCGAACAGTCCCCACCTTGAGATGCTAATGAATTCATCACTGCAGTTTGTATGACATTGCTGATTAATTTGCACGGTAGTTAAAGGAACAGATCCTGGCTTTGAATTGAAGAAGCCCTCGGCTGATTGCCTGTGGCGAGCTGAGCTGTTGCCAGGGAAGGCTGTCTTACCTCTTATTTTTAGAATCTATTTGAAAGGGCTAGCACAGGCTTACATTTCTAAAACATGTACTTCTCCCCATTCCTTCACCTTTTCACCCCTTAAGGAAGCCTCTGTGGAGAGTCTGCCCTGTGCCGAGCTGGGGATCAGCCTAGGGGTGCAGAGGAAACAAGGCTAGTTGTGCTGATAGGAGAAGTGTGCACCAGTCAAAGCTCTCAGAGAAACAGGACCATCTGGATAGCCTGAGGAGACTTTGTGTAAGAATGGGCTCATGTCATCTTGGAGGCCGAAGTCCCACCATTTTCTTTCTCACAGCTGGAGATGCAGAGAAGCTGGGTCCAGATCAAAGGCCTGAGAACCCAGGTAGCTGGTGATATGAATCCCAGTCTAAGGGCAGGAGAGGATATGAAACACCTCACTGTGAGCTGGGCAGCAGGAAGAAAGGGCCCCTCCTTCCTCTGCCATCTTGTTAATCAGCATAGTGGATGGGCCCATTCAGTTAGGATGGGCAATCTGCTTACACTGAGATGTTTTAGTCAGTTTGCTGCTGCAGTAACAGAATGCCACAGGCTGGGTAAATTATAAACTAGAGGCTTCTTTGAATCATGGTTCTGGAGGCTGGGAAGTCCAAGTCAGGGCCAGATTTGCTGAGAGCCTTTTTTCTGAATCCTAATATGGCACAAGGTGTCCAAGGGCGAGAGCAGAGGAGAGTGGGAGGAAAGGGAGCCAGACCCCTGTGATAACAGCATTAACCTAATCTTGAGTTTTGGTTTCACTAAATACCTTCACAGTGGCAGCTAAATGTCAACGTCAGGCTTGGAGGAGATGTGCAGACCGTGGCTTGCATCCCCTGGTTTACAGCAAGTGGAAACAAGCTTGCTATGGTTTATGTTTAGAGGTCCCCCAAAGCCTCATGGGCATAGGGTTTCTTCAGAGGTGGCGGAATCTAGAGTGTGTGATGCTGGGATTAAGGTGGGTGATTACTGAATCAGCCCACTGATGAGTTTGGCCCCGCCCTCATCCTGGTAGACTGGATAAAAGGGGCAGAAAGATGCTGGTAAGGTTCCCTTGTTGCTTTTGCTGCCATATGGGCTCCATGAACTGTTCCTCCCCGGGGGCACCCCTCTGCTGTGTGCCACTCTGCTTTGGAGCCAGCTGACTATGGACTGAAACTCTACAAACTGTGATTAAATAAACCCTTTCCCCTTTAACTTTGGGTGTTGGGTGTTTTGTCTCAGCAATGAGAGAAGAGTAACTAAGACAGCCCTCCACAGACAGGCCCAGGGATCGTAGGGTCTGGGTCTGTCTCACTGAGCATCGCATAGGAACATTCGACATTTACCTCCATGGCTTGCTCTGTGCCATTCCTGACAGCTGTATTACTGGCCCATCATCTCCTCTTGGAAAATTCTCTCTGCACCTCACTGGTTCTCTCGGTTGTTTCTCTCTCCCAGGACTCTTGCCCTAACAGATCCTTCTGTCCTGCGTTCTCTGCCTGTCTCTTAGGACACTGACCTTACTCTGCCACCCTCTTAGTAATGCAGTGGATGCTCCTCCTCTTTCTGGAGGGTGAAGATATTTCTGATGCAGCCCAAACTGACATGGAAATAGATGTTCAGCCACAATCTGCCAAGCCAGGGGGGGTTTGGAGGCTGCATTCACTAACTTTTAGTCTTCTCCACCTAGGGCAGGGTACTTGGATGAAGATCAAATGGAAATGCTACTGGAACGGGTTCAGATGGAAGTCTTTTCTATAAAACAGAAGTTGGACAATGACTTAAAGCAGGAAAAGAAAAAACTCCACCAAAAATTAATAATTAAGAGAAGACGAGAGTTGCTACAAAAGGTACGAGTATATGAGGCATTGTGCTATTTCTTCTTTCTATAAGCCTTTCCCAACACCCACTGAGTGCTGGGATCCATGCCAGGCATGGCTGTCAGCACACGAGGACTGCAAGGGCAGCTCAGCAAACATCATGATGTGCCATCTACAGTTGATTGCTAGTGACTTTTTGGAATGTTGCATCAAAGAGCATTCTGCAGGCTCATGGTATATTGGTAATGTCTGCTTGAGCAAGGGAATTGGAGAGTCTTGCTGGGGAAGGTTTTCCAGAGCAGGTGCAGAGTCCCGAGGACAGGATGCATTTGATGCTCACCAGGATGGAGCATTTTGCTCATAGTGGAAACATGAAATCCAGGGCAATTCTGTGTCCAGAGCTCTGAGCCCACGAGGAGGCTGGAGCATGCCCAGGGGTGAGGCAGGGGCAGGAGAGGAGCTGCCTGGGGGGCATCCCAAGGCAGTGAGGCCCAGTGTGCCAGGGTGAGGGCTCAGCGTTCACTGGAGGATAGCAGGGAACAGAGATGGATTTGGGGTGCAGAAAGCGATGCCAGACTTGTGGTTTGGGGAGCTGGTGCGATGGAGGTGGAGGAGCCTGGGGAGATAGAGCCATGCAGGACCCGAGCACGTGGCCATGTTGGTGCTGCTCAGAGGATGTGTGGGGTATGGGAGTGATACCTGGGTAAGAACCTTTCAACCTCATTGGATGGACCAGTATTCTGGCACCAATCACGAGGGAGAAGAGGGGTGCAGGATAACTTTGATCAGTGGAAACTACTTCTTATTATCATTTGAGTCCAGTGGGAAGCCACCATTCTGACCCTGATCTTGGACGTGTTCCCCATGCTGAGGGCCACCTTCTTCCTCTCTGAGCCTCTGGCTGAGGGCCCGGAACAGTGGCACCCAGGTCCACGTGTTCTTGATGGTGTGGCCCGGGAGGGATGGACTCCAGCTCTACGAGAGATTCTGGCAACCTTCTGCAAATACTATTTCTTGCACTTCCTTTTGATAAATATTGTCAGTGGCCCCGAATGAGCAGATAGCTCCATAAACTCAAAAATTTCTATTGTGCCCCCAACGCTGAAGTTACTGCCTGACACTTGCAGTCAATAAATATTTGTCTCAGTAAATATTTTGCCAATGAGTGAGTTGACACTTAAGTCACCAGGACTCATGAATAAAATGAAGACCATTTCGTGTTCTGGTGAAATTGATCCAGGTCTGTGGGACCGCGATGCTGAGTGACAGCACGACGGACAGCTTTATGCCGTCAGGTTTTCCCACTGTGGAGCCTTTTCCTACCTGCTATTCTTTCTCCCAGGAATATCAATCATTTGTCCACCCCTTCTTAACTTGGTTAAGATGAGAGCTCATCCTCAGGCCTTGCTAAATTTTTCCCTAAAAGGCCTTTCCTGACCTCCTCATTGAAGTCGGCTCGCATGAGTCTCAGGGTTGCTTTTGAAGTGCGTGTGACTAGCACACTTTGCAGTGACTGTGAGCCTGGCACGGGCAACAATCACAGCGGACACACTGGCTGTGGACTCTGCAGTGGGCACTGTTCTGAGAGCTGTCCATGCAGTGAGCGACTTGTAGAATCCTCATAACTGCTCTGTGGCGCTGGTCCTATCACCAGCCCAGCTTTACAGAGGCCTGGAGGGGTAAGGCACGCACTTTGGGTCACTCAGCATGTGAATGGAGGAGCCAGGGTGGGAAGCCAGGTGGTCACCCCTGGGGCTTCACCTACCCAATAAATGCATGGTCCCTGTAGATTTTAAAACATTTTTAGTAGTACTGGGGACTAAGCCTGAGTCTTTTGCACTGAGCCACATTCTCAGCCTTTTTTATTACTTTTAATTTTTGAGACAGGGTCTCGCCGCGTTGCCAAGTTGCTTTAGGCCAGGCTGGGCATGAATTTATGATCCCCTTGCCTTGTTGTGTGATTTACTTAAGGATGGGTTTTGAGCATGAGCTTGTTGGGGAAAATCCTCTGTGCCAACGCCTCCCCCAGACATGTGATTGTCCTTTCCCGAATTCCCAAAGCACCGGGAGCAGCGGAAGGAGCAGCTGTCCACAGCCGAGGCGTTGCGAGCCTCTGAGGATGCTGGCCATTACCTGTGCCAGTGGAGGAGCATGGTGGCCGAGCACAGCGCCGCCCTGGAGGAGCTTCAGGAGAGCCTGGACCAGGCTGCCCTAGATGATGTCCGGGCCTTGACCCTGTTGCTCTCTGAGAAGGCCACCGAGGAGCTGCGGCGCCTGCAGAGCTCGGCAATGACGCAGGAGCTGCTCAAGCGCAGTGTTCCCTGGCTCTTCCTGCAGCAAATCCTGGAGGAGCAGGCCCGGGAGCTGGCGGCTCGGACTGAGCAGCTGGAGGCCGAGGAGTGGGCGCGGGGCCAGGAGGGCGTTCAGCGTGTGAGGCAGAGGCTGCAGGACGACGCCCCCGAGGCTGCTGTGGAGGAGCAGGCAGAGCTGAGACGCTGGGAGCACTTGGTCTTCATGTGAGTGGCCCTGCTGCGCCCCTCTGGCCAGGGAACCTGCTGGGGACAGGGATGGCTGAGTGCGTGACTCTGACTCCGAAAGCGTGAGGTCCACTGCTTTTCTCGGTCACACAAGCTCATAGCTGGCGAGGACTATGCAGAGTGGAAGAGTGCAAAGCAGGGTTGGGGACGGGGCTGTGCCCCGACAGGAGGGGTGGCTGGGTTCTCTGGGCAATGCTGCGCCTGGTCCCCGCCATAGGAAGTGTCATTCGGGCACGACTTGCAGGACAGGAGGGGCCTTTTGTGGAGGCTGCCCCAGGCCCTCGTGTCCCATCCAGTGTCCAGGAGGCACATGACTCCAGGCTGAAGGCTCAGTGCCTACCCCACACTGGGCCCTCTTTGCACCTGGCCCTTTCATTCACCACATCATTGTTTGGGCCATTTATTTTCATCATTAATACATCAATATAAGAACCTTGCAGTGATTTCCACTCCTGAGCAGCATGCTGTAGACCACATGTCTTAGTGATGGTCTTCTCACTGAGACCTGATACCCCAAACCCACCGCTGAAAGGAGGAGAGGTTTATCTTGACTCATAGTTCCAGTCCATAGGCAGCTGGCTCCAAGGCAAAAGGCCTGGCGGAGGAGAGCTGCTCACCTCATGGCGTCCAGGGAGCAAAGAGAGCTGGGAGGAGGCGGGAAGGAAGATAGAACCTGGGTTACACCCACAGTGACCACCACTTCCCACCAGGCTCTGCCTCCTCACAGCAAGTCAGCTACGAGAGCCCCACAATCCATCACCTTCCAGAGCCTCCCCTTCCAGCTGTGATCCCATGAGGCCTTCAGGGGACGTCATGTTCTAAATCCTCACACCACAGCTCCCCCCGCACTCCCCCCGCAGTAGCTAGTAACTAGCAATCAAAGACAGGGAAAGTGCGTTCAACCCAGGGGAGCTGGGGATTCCAATTCCGAGGGGCCTCTGTCTGATAGCCGTCCACTTCTGGGAGACTGAAGTTTGGCTTGGCCCAGGAAGGGCACCTTGGTGTGTGTCATGTGGACCAGCGAAGTGTCAGGTGCTCATTTAGGGCCGGCTCGTTAGAGTGGACACTACATGTGGTCACCCGTGTGGAGTGAGTTAGGGGCAGTGTAGACGGAAGGCAAGGATTTCAATCCTAGCATCACCGGCTGCTGTGTGAATGCGGGCAACTCACTGCAGCTTGCTGAGGCTCGTCTTTCCAGCCTGTAAAATAAAGATGATACTAAGTCATTTGGGGTGCTTTCAGCCGTGCATGATACTGTCAGGTGGGTTAAACGGGAAGAGGGTGTGTCTGTGAGGGCCTGTGATCTTCGAGGGCACCCTCGTTAGGTGCTGGGTGCAGAGCATCTTCCTGCAAGGCCCGGGATCCAGGATCTTGCTGCCCCCATGACTTAATACCTCTCCGTCCAGTGTGGCACTCTTTCTAGGCCCTCACCTCCTGCCGGGAGAGGGTCCCCACGTGTGCTGCAGAGAGTGAGGCTACTTTGGTTTGCATTAAGTGACCACCAGCTCCTTCCCATTTCTCTCTTGTGCCTCTGGCCTCATTAATTTTCCAGCCCAGGTTAATTATTGCTTTCTTGACAATGGAAACAAGATGCTGTCTTTTCTAAACTCATGAGAATCTCATGCTCCAGCCTGTCCTCCACAGAATTTAGTCAGCTCACTCTATATTCAACCCAAGATCTTTACCCATTCTAGTTGGTGTTGGACTCTTCATCGCGTCTGGATTCAATTTGACATTCCCATTACTGGGCATTCATTTGCTTCAGCTTCATTCGGATCTACTTTGCAGGCAGCATAGCTGAACTGCTGCTGGGTTAGCTGTTCAGTGAGAAAAAGAGAAATCTCACTTGGCTATCAGAGACGCTTTTCGATTTTTCTCAGGGTTAAAGACGGTCAGCCTGCAGCGCCTACAATGTGAGCTACTTATGTGCTTTGCTTATTTAAGGCGCTGAAGGTTGCAGCCTTTATATCTGAGGCATTATGTAAAAATGGCCTCATGCCAGAGATTTGCAATGCATTTTTGTAAGCTTCTCAAGGGTAATTAAGAGGGGGCTGCAGAAACCTGGTCAGCTAAAATACATATGAATAAGGGGGAGAATTTTTATGAGGAAAAGTGTATCTTGAGACTCCTTTCCTGAGTTTCTGCCCTGATTTTAAAGACCGTCAGGGCAACGACCCTGCCTCCTATATTTCTATGTTCTCTTAGTGCCCGCTTGCCAGTGGACTGGACAAGCCCAAGGGCTGATCTGCTAGAACAGTGGTGGCGAACCTATGGCATGTGTGCCACAGAGGGCTGTTTGTATCATTGAAAGCTCTAAAAGGTTCGCCATCACTGTGCTAGAAGGTGGGCAAGAAGATGGACTTATATGCACTTCAGAGTTGCTTTCGTTTCAGAATCCATGTTACCATCCATGAGGCGTGGTGCAAAGGGAGGCTGCAGTTTCCAGAGAGGCTTTAAAAATCAGGATCCCTTGGAGGGAGGATCCCCAAGACAGGGTGTCCGGTGGTGTGGCCTTGGGGCCTTCAGACTATTTTTAGCTGAAAACCTGCATCATCCCTGAAAGTCCACTTCTATTTCCAGAACTTTCAGTGGAGCCACAGCCCAGTGTTCCCATTGAGATCTGGGCTTGGTGAGCCTTGCTCTAGCTTCTCGTGGCCGTTGGTCTCCAAAAGCTCTGAAGTTTAAGCACCCCCAGAGGGTGCTTTTTATAGCCTTGTTGATAGAATGACCAGGCGCATCCGTGCTCGTCTCCAGAGGATATTTGTTGAGTGAATGCATGAATACACACTTCTCCGAAGCTAGAGGCATGGAACAGGCTTCTCCCTGCATCATGTGCTCTGCAGCTGAGGAGGAAACCCTGGCCAGAACTGGGGCCCAAGGCAGGAAACAAGAGCATGTGGCCATTCTGTCCCTTGGAGTGGGCAGTGGCCTGTGTCAGCAAGGAAGATAGAGCAGTGTAAGTCAGTGGCTGGGTGGGTAGGGGTTCACAGTGACGTAGGTCAGTGCCTCTGATTCTGAGTGCTGCCATAACTGAGTACCACAAACCGGGTAGTGTGAGCCACAGAAATGCATTAACTTGTGGTGCTGGCGGCTGGAAGTCCAAGGTGCCGGGCTCCAAGGCCTGGAAAGCTCCAGGGGAGGAGAATCTGTCCCTTGCCTTCCTCTTGCCTCTGTGGCTGTGGGCAGTGGTTGGCATTTCTTGGCTGGTAGGCACATTTCTCTGATCTCGGCCTTGGTGGGCACATGGCCTTCACCCTGGGCATTTGTCTCTTCTTATCTTGGAAGGGTGCCTGTCATAGAAGGTGAGGGGTCTGCTCTACCCCCGTATGACCTTATCTGAACTTCTTAATTCCAGCTGGAAAGACACTGCTACCAAATAAGGCCACATCGACAGGGAGCAGGGTGAGGACTTGGGGGACACAGTTCAATCCATAACAGCGCATCATGCAGCAGGCTTCCTGCATGGAGCAGGCTTTTGCTTCAGTGACAGTTGCCAACACCCAAAGCCCAAGCACCCTTTGCTGACCCTGAGCTGAGGCGAGTGCTGCTCCCTGGGCTGGGTGCACACTGTCATTGTCACTACAGTAAGAATAGGTCACCTCAAGGTCATGAACACAGGAGCACCTCCTGCCTCTCAAAGACATCTGGGGTCATCTCACTCAGCTCTGCATCTCGGGTCTCATAAGATACGTGTCCAGCATGGTGTCTGGCAGGCACTCGAGACCTGCTTATGGAGTGAACCACAGATGGGGAGCTGATGCTTTTGTGTCTGGACAGGGCTTTAGCTTATGAACTCTGAAGTTCCAGCTTCCCCGCCCCAGCCCAGCCCGTGCAGGTTTTCCCCTGATGGAAACCATTGCTTCCCTTCCCAGGAAGCTCTGTGGTGCCACCTTCTCGTTGTCGGAGGAGGAGCTGCTGGCAGTGAGGCGGGAGGCCCACAGCTGCTTCGCCCAGATGGACAGGAGCTTGGCCCTCCCCAAGGTGCGGGCCCGAGTCCTGCTGCAGCGGTTCCAGTCTGCCTGGCGGGAAGCGGAGCTCCTGAAACTGGACCAGGCGCTGGCTGCCCCCGAGCTGCAGGTAGGAGGGATGTCTTGTGGTGTCCCCAGCTCCTGATGATGCCGTGGGGTCCTGGGTCCCCACCCTCCCTGAGCTTGCTCATCTCCCTTGCCCCCATCCCTGCCTCTGCTGCCATGGTGGAGTCTGCAGCCACTTTGTCCTGGCTGGAAGGTACCCAGACACCCTCCCTCGGGCTGTGCTGTGTCAACCAGCAGCCCTGAACATGGCCTCATTCTGTGCCCTTCTACAAGAGCCACCTGGCCTAAAGTGTCAGCCTTCCTTCTGCACCCACCCTCAGCCATGGACAGTGACTGACTTGGGGTTCAGAGGCCCCTGTAAATGGAGGGCAGAAAAGGGCATCTCGCACTGGGTCTCAAAGAATGGCAGCTGTTTTCAGTGAGCCCCTGTGATGTGCCCCAGCACACATGGCTCTGTGGTGCATTTGTCCACCAGAGCCACCACACACACTGGTCTAGACTGGATTTGACCCGAGGCCCAGCCCTACTTAGCCCTGCACCTTTCTGGCCTGGTCCCTGTTCTACAAAGATTCTTCTCTTAGGAAGCCATGAGCAGCTCCGGGCTCAGGCTCTGCCTGCAGGGAACTGGACCTGGGACAACAATGCCTTTGAACTTGCTGCTTCCCCTGCCATCACGATCAGCAGTCTTTCCAGGCCTCCACTCAGCATCACGGCCACAGGGAAGCCCTCCTCGAGCGTCCGTCTAAAGTAACCCTCCTCCCAGCCACTCTCTGTCCCAGGGTCTGAAGCATCTGCACCCCTCCGGGCCTGAGGCCTAGTCTTGTAGTTCTGTGAGCCTTGGTCTCTGTGACCCCCCAGGGCTGTGTGAGCTTGTGGGAGGTCGGCCTTCTTACCAGTGTTTGCTCTGGCTCCACTCTACCCACAGTCTAAGGCCAGAAAGCCGAGGTCCAAGAGTAAAAGCAAGGTGGACCTTCTGAAAAAGTGCACCGAGGACAAGATCCGCCTCTTCGAGGAGCAGCCCCCCCCACACTTGGCAGAAAAGGTGGGTGCCTCCGTGTCATTCGGGCTTCTCTGCACCAGCAGGTCGGACAGTGACTGTTCTCGAGTGCACAGGGCCACCAAAGCGCTGCACCCCGAAACCTGTGATCCTCCACATAGGGCCCCTCCTCCCCACGGCTCCTATGCTTCTCTGTCTGGTGGATGTGTTCGGGGAATGGGTGCTTTATACCATGCTTGTGAGTGCTGTTTTGGCGCCTACCTTCTGTCCTTGGCCTAATGGTTTTTAAAAAAAATTTAAACTTTATATTTTTTCTTTTTAAAATTTTTGTATTTTTGGTAACAGGGATCAAACTCCAGACCTTGCGCTTGTGAGGCAGGCAGCAGAACCAGTGAGCTAAATCCCCGGCCCTAAACTTTATATTTTTAATGCAAATGTATTTCTCAGAACACAAATGCATGGTGAATTGTTCCAGCATTGGCTCTGGGTGAGTCAGTGTGCCCTTTCAGGTGCGGTGTGTTTGATGTCTTAAGGTAGGGGTCTCGAGCCCCCGGCCAGAATCCAAGGCCTGTTGTGAACTGAGCCACCCAGATTAGATTCTCCCAGGAGTTCGAACCCCACTGTGAACTGCACATGTGTGAGGTCTAGGTTGTGGGCTCCTTTGAATAGTCCAAAAACCACCACTCCCCTGACAGTGGAAAAATTATCTTCCCTGAAACCTGTCGCTGGTGCCAGAAACTTTAGGAGCCATTGTCTTAAGGGACCCAAGTAGCAGGCCTGTTCTTGTCAGGCTCTAAATAAGGTTGAGGACTCTCAGAATTGGTGCATGCTGTCCTCCCTGCACAGCCCCGAGAGCTGGTTCTTGTCACCCTCTAAAGTTCAGGTGGGTCCAGAAGGTGGCAGTCACTGTCAGGTTCCAATGGGCTCACGCCACAGCCTAGGAATGAAACAGACTCTGTTGCCTGATCCTGGCATCCCCAGGGGCCCCTGGGGTGCACAGCCCGCTCCTGCAGATACAGAATGGAAGTGGAGTTGCCACAGGAAGCTAGAAAAGAGCTATGTACCTCGGGAGTCCCGTTTGCCACCCAGAGGGGAGGAAGAGGTAGACCAAGAAATAACAGCAAGGGGGTTGGTGGAGGAGCCTTTCCTCTGGCACCTGCGCATTTGGGATCCTCTGCAATGCAGAGTTTGGAGGGACACAGTGTTGGTCTGGAGGAGCCTGGGCCCCAGGGGGACATCCTCATGTGTCAGGCCGAGGAGGAGGAAGGTGCGCTGGCCTGCACCGCGGAAGGAAGAGTCAGGAAAGAGGGGCCGGCTGTGGAGAAACCAGGTGCACACGGCTCTGTCCCTGCCCCTCAGCTCCAGGTGGACCTCAGCGTCCACCTTGACCACCCCAGCCCTTTCCAGCTCCTGCCCCTACTCTTCTCTGGTTATCGTCTCCCTCCCTCCCTGCCTTCCTTTCTTCCGTGCTACTAGGGATTGAATCCAGGGCCTTTGTACTGAGCTACATCCTCAGTCCTTTTTGTTTTTTGAGACATGGCCTTGCCAAGTTGTTAAGGTGCCTAGGCTGGGCTCAAACTTGTGATCCTCTTGCCTCAGCCTCCCAGAGTGATTTTCTCTAATCTGTGTCTTTCTCACATCCCCACCAGTGTTCAACACTATTTTTAGCCCTTGTTGTATGCAGCAGACTCCTAAATTTTTCCCTCTCCCTTCCAGTTGATTCTCTATGAGGCAGGAGCATTCTCTTCCTGTAGTGCAGATTGTGTCCCGGGCCACCGTAGCAGGTGGGCACTCGAGTGGACAGTGTGGTTGTCCGGGCCGTGGCTCCAAGCCCAGACCCTTTCAGATGCCCACCCCAACCCGCTCGTCATGCCTTTGCAGACACTGGCAGGCATGTGTCACCTGGAAGCTCCCACGAGGCATTTAGGAACAAACGGAGGGGAGAGAGAATTCAGTGAGCAAGGAGAGCAGGCAGGGAGGACGGAAGACAGAAGACCAGCTGCCCGGGCTGCCTCTCCGTGGGATGTGCAAGGGCTTGGGCTCCCTGGCCACTTGGCAGCCCCTCCCTGCCCCAAGCCCCTCTGGTTTACGGGTGAGGCGAGCCTTGGTCTGCACCACGGCCCCAGCACAAGCCCATCCTTCCCAGGCCCTGTGCCGAGGACACAGCCATCCACTCTGGCACCCAGAAGCGGCCAGCCTGCTCCCCAGGGCATTTTCAAAGGGGTTTAGACTCCATTTTTGTCATGCACTGGTTTAAGAACTTTTCTCTCTTCATCTAAATGTGACAGCATTTAATAGGAGCGGTCCCTGCTTATTTGTTTGCTTTTGTGCACTGGTGGCTTTCCAGATGCCCCGCCAAACACTGTCCATTGAGTTGTCCCTCCGTGTCCGTGAGGGAGTGGTCCCAGAGGAGCCTTGAGTCCCTGGTGTGACACTGCATCTAACTTACAAGCATACTCCTGAATACTTTAAATCCTCTCCAGACTCCCAGCCAATGTGGTGCAAATACAGTGTGACCTGCCATTCCCTATTGCTCAGGAGATAATGACAAGAACAAAGCGTGTGCCCGCTCAGTGTGGACACGGGATGTTTTTGAATAGTTTGGTCCTTAGCTGATTGACTCTGCGGCTGTGGAACTTGCAGAGCAGAAGCAACTGTATATTCGTGCTTATGCCGATGGGGTTTGCTGAGCAGTAAATGCTTTGCCTCTAATCTGCTCCTTTCATCCTCGAATAGCCAGTGAGAGGGTCCAGCAGCCCTCAGCATCCAGAGGTGAGATAACTAGGGCCACACTGTTGCCCGCCCTCTTGCCACCATGCTGGTCTGCCCTATTCCTTCTGTGGTTAAACCTTTCCGATTTCCCCGCGAAGTGAGAACAGCCAGTGTCCCCACTTCACAGAAAGGCACACTGAGTCTCAGGAGCGAGGGAGCGCACTCAGGACCTGGGAGCCGGACAGTGGCAGATGCAGAGCCCAGGCTGTGTCTCCTCCCGGGGCTGCCTGATGCAGGCCCTGAAGAGAACGTGGCCTGAGGCATCGCAGCTGTGGCCTTTGAGTGATGGGCATCCTTTCAGTCGGGATCCTTACTCTGGCAGGTGCCCACAGTGTATGCGCTCTTGGGCCCACGGCTTTGATGCTGCTCCCGACATGGATTGGTGACAGCTCTTACACTCGGGTAGCTTGGCCGAGGTTTCATTTGCAGGGCAATTGGAGAGGGAGGTGACAGCACTCACTCTGTGTGAGGACTGCCAGTTCACTAGGGTACCCAGGGGTCTCCGGAGGAACAGGATTCAAGGGGAGATCAAAAACATGCTGAACATTCACCTTAAATAAATGTGTTGCAGTAGAAGACACATTGCCGAGTCCCCCTCAGTATCCTCCCCCTCCCTTTGGACACTTGTCCCATCTTTCTTGCCACTTTCTGAAGCAGCTCTGGAGTCCTCTTTCCTGAGTGTCTTTAGGACATGAGCAGCTTGGTGAATGCTGCTGCCGAGCGCCATCCAAGGAAAAGGCAGCTTGTAAAAACACGACTCTGTGTCCTCATCCACCTTATTCACCGAATCCGGCACCGTGTGACTGCCTCTTCCCTAAAGTCACAATAACCATAAAGGGGAATGTTTTCAATCAACTCAGGTCCTCAAGGCAGCCACGACAGCTCAACTAGACACTCAAGAAAGAGGACTCCAGAGAGCAAATCCCCTGTCACCCACTAGTGGAGGAAGGGACAGTGATCTGCCAGGCAGAGGTTGGGGGGGGGAGCTCTGGGCACCTGCTTCTTAATTAGATGTCCACCCTTTCTCATCCTCATTTCTAGATGTATCTGAGGCCTGTGTTTTCTGAGACTTGGGAGACCCTGGTATAGAATCGCCTCCTATTGCTGAACTGTTTTGTTTTCATAGACAAATCTGAAACTGAGAGAGGTTAAGAACTTGCCAGGGTCGCACAGCTAGTTCCATGGTAAGCTCAGATGGAAGAGATAACAGAGCAATCTCAAACCAAACCAAACCAACCACGCTGAGTGCCAAGTGGTGTGGGATGTTTGCACCCTGGTGTTATAGATGGTGGGGATGGGCAGGAGTATCTTTTGAGGCATACAAATACAGTTTTCTATCTTGAATATCTATGCACTAACGATACTTCTTTACCAAGGTGGTGTTTCATTCAGCAAACGCTAATTCGACAGACCTCTCCTGGGTTCACTTTCTTCCTGATGCAGTATGGCAGAGACAGTCTTCTATACTGTGCATCTTCCTTCTGGGGCACCTTGAATCCATCCAGCAAAAGAGGACCAGCCCTAGAATGGGAATCCTCGGAGCACGCTAGGTTTAGGGTCCCCTCCGCCTTCCTCTCCCAGCGTGAGGAGGGAAGAGTCCAAGTGACTCTCTGGTGGCCTCTCTCCAGAAAGAACAGCCCTGGCTGGTGACCCTCCTGGCTTCTTTCCACCCCTTGCACACGTTTCTTCAAGGAGGTGTGATGTGATTGGTGGGATTAAGGAAGGAAAAAAAATGGAGAGAGGCGAGGACATAGAGAGGCAGAGTCCGTTTGGAAATGGGAAGGGGATCAGGGAATGGGGAGGGTAAAGGGAATCAAAACCCATCAAGAATATAGACATAGGACCGGGAATTTAGCTCAGTGGTTCCGCCGCCTGCTGCGTCAGTGCAAGGACCAGAGTTCGATCCCCCGTACCAAAAAAAATATATAGATATATTTTTTCCTCCAAAACTAATGTGTTAATTTGTTGTTATGCATTATGTGTCACAAACATATACCAATAAAAAAGAAACAGGGCAGGCCCTGCTCGGCTCACCCCTGTCACTGGGAGCTCCATTCTTCTCTGGTTGGTGGTGAACTTGCCAGAGGCCTGCAGTTGACAGGAGGGTGAACTGGTTCAGACACTCAGCCCTATTCTCCAGTCTCATCTTCATCAGTGTTAAAGCTGACATCTGATGTCCGTCTGGCTTACCTTTGCATCTAGCTGTGTTTGTTTGTTCAAGAAAGAGGAACATGATTAATTGAGCTCCCTAGAATTCCTGTAAGTCTGCAGAT